GGTGTCAGAGCCGCCAGGCCAGGTGGAGGAGGAGGAGGAGGAGGAGGAGGAGAGGGTATCAGCTCCGTGAAAACACACAAACAAAGCCTTCACTCATCTCTCTTTAAGTGTGAATGACAGTAACTGCAAGGACACATTCAGTGACAGTCAAAACAAGAGGGATCAGGTGTACCGAGCTGCTGCATGTAGACCGGGCCTATTTACAAACAGGCCCTGCTGGAGTGCATAAAGGAACTTTTTTTTTTTTTAAATTAATCATTTATATAGACTAACTTATTTGAAAATAATGATTATTATTAGGCCTGAGTGAGGCCTAAACCAGGATTGTATGTGTCATGGGTTTAAATCTCTCCAGCACCATCCCACCCAACTGAGACATGTTTGACTAGCCTCCAAACATTATTTAAAATATATATTAATTTAAAAACCTCATTTTTAAGAAATCTCTTTTTTTCTTTTAACTTTACAAAACATATTTTCTGTAGATTTAATCTCCCTACATTATGACCTTGGTTTAATCTTTTTTTTGTATCACATGGTCCTCATCAGCAGAGGGGGTTTGTTCAGCTGCCATGGCACTGTAGATGTTCTGACTTTACATTATTCTGAGCTCCATTTTGTCTGTGTTGGCGGTGAATACTCAGTCCCTTTGATTGTATCATTTCTTCAGTGTTTGACCTGAAAACTGTTGGCTTAACATTGTTTTAATATGAATGAATATGTTTGTAATGGAGGATGTAAACTCATTTGATATCATGTGAACCCCCACATTCCCACACATACAGATGGACATGACCTTGGTGTCATAATGCCTAGTTTATTATTGTCATGTTGTCAGTTTTTGATGTTTCTATAATATCAGAACTGATTGCTAATTTGATTGCGATATTTATTATAAATATGTCTAAAATGTATTCAGGATAACAATTCTGTTTTCTTGAGGAAAGTTTCTGTATTTTTTGTGTCAAACACTGAAATTGCAATTTTCACAGCTGATACTTTAAAAGAAAATAGATTTAATCTAAATCTTTTATTTTATGTTTGATTATTAATCCTAAAGTGAATCAGTTGTAGTTTAACATGTAACACAAAACACAAAACAATTCTCTGAAGAACTCTTTTCAGCTCAGTGCTGTGTGACATTCGTCTGTGATACACTGCAGTCATGTTGCCATCTAGTGGACCAAAAAAGGAATGAACCTACTTTTCCGACACAGATCATGCATTAGCTTGACTGACAAACCACTTTAATTTAATCCTACACGTGTCCTCAAAAACTGAAACACATTCACTGGATCCTGAAAGCATCATCTAATCTGAAACACATTAAGATATATTTGATATGACATGCAAGTGATTTGTTTGGGTCCTTTTTTATTTATCACAGAGATCTGTCTGTCACATGCAGACTTGCCTTTCATGTAAGTAGCACAATGCTCAGATATTAAAGGTCCAGTGTGTAACATTTAGGAGGATCTATTGGCGGAAAGATAATATGCATAACTATGTTTTCATTCGTGTATAATCACCTGAATATAGGAATCGTTGTGTTTTTGTTACCTTAGATTGAGCTGTTTTTGTCTACAGACGATGCAGGTTGCCATCCGTGAATCACCATTTTTCTACAGTAGCCAACCAAACATTGGCTGTTGTTAGGACCTTTTGCGTTTTTCACGAGGTTAGCAGCCACAGTTTCTCCTACACACTTGTTCTCAGTCTAATAGACTGTACTTGTATAGTGCCTTTCTAGTCTTCCAACAGAAGCTAACTCGTTCATCCACATTCATACACCGATGCACATCGCCAGGAGCAATTTGGGGTTCAGTATCTTGCTCAAGGACACTACAACATGCAGCGGGAGGAGCCGGGGATTGAACTGCCAACATGATTAGTGGATGACCCACTAACCTCTTGAGCCACAGCCGACCCCAGTTGCATATGCCAGCAGAGTTCAGATAGTTGATATCTGCAACTTCACAGCTAGAGGCCACTAGATCCTACACACTGGTGCTTTAAAATGAAAACATAAGTTTAAGTTCTGAATTGCATGATTTAATTTTGTATCCTCCACTTTAACGATAGTATCCAGGGATACTTTGTCAGTGTGGAATGCTCCCACTTTGTCCTATGAGGAGTTCAAGGCCTACATTTCAGGACATGTCACTTGGACTCTCTAAAATCCTACTGCTGCCCTTTGCTAAGCTGGCCTCCAGCCCAGACCTCTTAGTGAACAGTTGTGTCTCGCTCCCTTTTACAGATTTATACCCTCCTCCAGTCACATTCCTCCCCCGCCAAAAAGAGATGGAGAGAGAATTACAATACTTGATGAACAGTGCCATTTATTCTCTGTGTCCATTGTGTTTCTTTATAAAACACTACCAAACATTGGCTCATCTGGAATAGTTCAAACAGTTACTACTAATCCCCGTCTGGCTAACTGCTGCCAACCTCAGGATCCAGACTGACACTTTGTTTCCCTGATTGAAGTTCAGTTGTATAATTTTCTTTATTTGTCGGCTAATTAGCCAGCAGTGGAGGCTGAGGCTTTCAGACGCTGCCTCGGGACTGGATGCTTCAACAAGTCCCTGACTCTCTGATGTAAGCTATAGTAGAAGTGCAGTCTGTTTACGTAATAGCCTCTCTCTACAAACTCACAGACAGAGAGATGCGTAGAGGTGTAATTCAGCCCGCTTGACCAAGCACATCCACTTTGTCCAAATCTCTGTGTTTCTTCAGCAACTTTCTCCATCTCACAAAAACATCTCTTATTTTGTTTAAACCTTTACCCCTGAACGCCTATCGTAGCCACTTTGCTCCCAGTCTCATGGCGTCCTCCTCGCTGTTTTTCAGCAGGTCTTCTGTCAGCCTGCCAGCTGTGGACGGCGTTGACCTACTGACGTCAAGCTGTGGAAATAAAGCTGTGGTAAAGGGGAGGAGGAGCACAGGAGAAACCTATAATTACAGCATGACTGTTTCTAATTCTTTACGGGCTACTTTCTGGGAACTGGACCAGCTTTTTGAGACTGGGCCAACACAAATCACATAGACACCTCCACACATGTTTTGAGCACAAGCTCACACACAGTCTGGTGTTAATATCTGCAAAACTGCACACTCAGCAATGGAAAAAAGGGGGTCTACTTGATAGTTTGAGCCTCAGGAGACAGCAGAGTTAACCGGGGACACATGGCTAAAAAAAAAAAAAAAGCCTACCAGACTAACAGTTGCTCAGAGCAGTCAGCTTGTATGTCTAAGTGTGTAGTGAGACGAAAAGCATATTGGCTTTCTGTGTGTTTACACATGCCATGCAGACGTAATGCATTCCTTTCTCATCCTGTCTTCCATTTCTGTCCCCATTAGGAAGAAGGAGTGCTTTTATCTCAGTGTTAAAAAACTGGGCCATGTGAGGCATCTGAGTCCTTTGCCCCATCACTGTTAACAGAATTAGAAAGTATTACTTCAGCATTTAACATACGTTATATAAAGGATTTCTATAGTTCAGTGCTGTTGCTTCTTGTCCTATTATCTATTTTTTTAATCAAAGCTGTTATTTATTTTGTATATATTTTTATTCTACAGGAATTACTCATGAAACGCTCCAGAAAGTCTTTATGGAGTAACCTCAAAAGCCACAGTTGCTGACAGAAACCTGAAGTTACCCAGACAGCCAGTAGGGCGAGGTGGAGGGCCAGACCAGGCCCCTTGCTTGGATGAGATGCTGCCTTCAAGTGCTATTGTAAATGTAAAATAGGAACCACCATAAAAAGAGTAGACAGTATATAAATACTGTTCCTAGAATGGTGAGCAAAGATGGGTGCTAGATCATGTGGCCTCTCTGACGCACAAATAGCATCAAATCATTTAAAAAGTGTCCATTGCTATAGATGCCATAATAAAAGACAAGTTTCCCATAAACTATTATTATCTCATCAAAGCAACCATAGAATTATCAAAGAAATGTCCACACCAACATTACTGAGTTACTATACTCTAAGTAAGTAATGTTGGTAGTACCTTAAAATCAAAGGAGATCTCGCCTTTCAGGTTGTGTTGCCTGAACACAAAAACTCCAATCCAACTACTTTAGTCTTACTTGACTTTAGTTTACATAGATGACCTCTTTTGTATGACTGTTGTACAAAATCTCCACTTAAAATGTGTACTACACATACTTATCACTTACATTAACAGGATACACATGCAGAACATGTGCCTAAAACACACTCAGAGGAAGAACCACTTGATGAGTAAATGCCTAATCTAGTCCTGATAATCAGGCTATGCTTACTAATGTCTCGACTACAATACAATTCAATTCAAAACCATTTAAGTCTTGAGGTTTCCCTAATTTACATTGATGTCAGGAAAAAGAGAAACATGCAAATCACGATTAAATGCAAATTAAGAAAAAAAATAAAAACCACTTGGCAGCTGATTGTTGTTATTATTATTATTATTATTATTATTATTATTATTATTATCATATATCAGTGGTTACTTAAAAGTAGCAATCCCTCAGTGGTAAACTATATTACAAGTATAACCTGAATCCAAAATTTTACTTAAGTATTAGCAGCAAAATATACTTAAAGTATCAAGTAGGATATCAGAGACAACAGTATTCAGAAAGCATGGCCCTTATTAGATCATTATAAATACATTCATTTGTAAGCCGCATTTTATTGTCTACTTTAAATGCTGTTTTTTAAGACGATCCTACATTTTGTATGAAAACTATTCAGCTGTCAAATAATGGAGTTAAACGCTACAATATGTCTCTGTGAAACATTGTAGAGTGGAAGTAGGTACAGTGCACAAATGTACCCTATTTGTTACTTTCCACCACAAGCTGTCATATTTCTAATGTCAGCCTTCTACTGCCAGACATCTAAAATAAATCTCACACAGCAAAGTCAAGGAATCACCACTCGCGACTCCTAAATTGGGACTTTTACGAGGCGCCCGTGAACGCAGCGTGGGATTGTAGCCTTGTTTGAAGCTGGCGGGTTGGGCCAGACTCCAGTGAATTTACAGAGCTACCGACCGACCGAGGGAGAGGAGAGAAGTCTGGCGCACACACACGGCTCTAATCTCCACAAACACCGCGGTAAACCCACACAAAAGTGTGAAAAAGAGAAGTTGCGGTTCTGGTGTGGCTTCCGCTTCTTCTCGGCTCCTTCGCCTCTTTTTCCAGCTCGTACAAACCAATGTGGGATAGATAGTGATTGGAGTTGACAAGCCCGCTCCACTACTGTATGCGCTCTCTCCTCCCTCCTCTCCCGCTCCACACAAACCAGGAAATCGTCGAGGTGTGCTTCTTTATGCCGCTAGTGGCTACCCCGTTTGCGGGTGTAGATGCGTGTTTTTCCCCCGATTTTTCTCGGTTTTCTATTTCACTCGTTTGACTTTTAAAGCCCGGGCACAGCTCTGAAGTCAGCCAAAGTTGCCTACGAGGAGAGGAGCTCCACTCTGGCCGAACAATGAGGTGGGTAAAGCGGCTCAAATCCCTTCATCTTCATTGTGTTTCCAGGCTACATTTTGTGTTTCGGCCACTAGTTTCACAAAAGGCGACTGTTAAATCCTGACCCTATAATGTCTCTCTGGAGTCCGCCTGGTAGTTTAATCGCCCTAGCAATTGTTTCCAACATTTAAATCGCCTTTCCCACTCAGAAATAACTCGAGCTTCTGCCTGGTTTTTTTTTGGTGTAGTTTCACCTAACACGGACATGATGACACCGTGGAGCAGGTTTTTCTGACCTTGGTTAGTGAATAACTTGATTTAAAAAAAAAAAAAAAAAAAAATTCTAATAATGGTTCAACATATTCGTGTTTGCACGGTCGGCCTGAAAGCCCAGTCTTACCTGTTCGAGTATGACTTCATTTTGAGCAAAGTGTTCACAAGTGGTGGGTTGTAGAGCAGGTCAGATGACACAAAAAGAAACATAGTTCTGTATCTGTTTGAAACACTGACTCTTGCAGCTCAGGATTACTGTCCCTAAATCATACCTCATAGGTGAACAACTGTGTGTTCATGAGCTCAGATGTGGGGGGAACTCACAGAGCATTTGAAAAATGGGATTCAGTGTCCTTGCTCAAAGGCACTTCAGCGGGGTTGAATTGTGCTCCATACAAGGGGGCTCCTTCAGCTGCACAATGACCACTTGGCCACCGTGCTGCCCCTAATGCATCTGCTGTTTATATCATGTCATGCATTCCACAGCTGCACATTCAACCTATCCCTTGTCTACTATTTTTCTCCCTCTGGGACTACAGAGGTTTGCACCGGGCACTAAAATTGCTCTGTAGAAAGCTCATGTCCACAAATTCCACATCCTGTCTCAGCTTGTGCAGTTGGCAATCACATGCTTTGAAGCCACCGCTCCTGGTTGGGGCTTCTTCAGGCCGACTACTTTCTTATTTTCCTTCACATTTAAACAAGAGTAGCACTTGGTGTAGTGCGCGGCTGCTAACCTGTGTGACTAGTTCTTTATCTCAGACCTATTGCGCTGCCCTTTCTGTAACAATGTCTCCGCTCGGCACATGGGTTGGTCCTGCGTTTGTATTTGTTTTGCACATATTTCTGCATAGTAACTTTGATTAGAGCAGGAACAGGAGGCACTTGAGCCGCCTGAAATCTTCACAGTAATGCATTAAACATACCCTGTTAATGAGGCCATTAATTAAGTGAATGCAATAATCAGCAAAGATGACTGTGTTACAGCCAGGTCCAGTTGAGGAAGAGATTATCTTGCGAGAAATAGGAATATAATCTTCAGCAGGTAAAGAAGATTTGTTAATCCCTGAAGTCTGTCAACTTCACGGGCAGATGCCACTGAATCCTACACTCTCATCCTTTAACATACTTTACATAATACACACGCAGTTTAATGTGAATTTAATCCAGCCAAGCAAAGCAAATAATGGATTTTTAGACGCAATGGCATCTATTCTTCTGTTTAAGTGTAAGAGTTATTGTCAGACAACACGTACACATCACAATGACACATACACGGCACCCAATACAATTATTACTCATCGTACAACAAGATAAGCAAAGTGCTTTATTGTGGAATTGCTCAGCTGTTGCCATAAACCACTGTAGCAACTCGACTGCAGAGACACAACGTAAATATGAAAGTGTCCAGCCTTTTTGTCTACATTCAGGTTTCATCACGCCCTCCACAGCGGCCGGCGTCTCCGAGCGGTTGTTAGGTGACTTGATGGTTGTAGGTCTTTACTTTATCTGGATACTGCTCCTGCTTGGCCCTCCATTGTAGCCTCAACAGTTCATGTCATGTCACCTTGTATAATAGGTAAAGACTGGAATGCGGCTCCACTCATGTTCATTGTCATTCGTCGCTGTGGTATGCCAATGTTGACACAGAAGTTCAACAATTTGACCCAGTTTAGAGAACGGTTCGGCAATACATCCAAACTTTTAAGTTGCCTTTTGCTCTAGCAGTGAATAGAAACGCCTGGCACGGATCTGTTGGTCCAAATCAGGAACTCTTTGGTGAAACGTGGAGAAGATGCACATGCGCCTTTTTGAATATTGGAATTGATCATGTTTACAAAAGTCTCTCCCTGTTTGCCTCCCACACTTTCAGTCCCGGTGAACGATGGCGGTGTTTAGAGTGCCGTATCAGCATTTCAGACTCATCTTCTCCTTTGGTGAGGTGGTGCAGGAAGTGCTTCCATCTGCATAATGATTCACTGTTATTGTCAGAGGTGACTTCTGTCTCCCACTGTTATGATTCACTGACTGGGTCTCCGTGACTAAAAGACTTGTCCTATCTGACACCGGCAGTATGGCTGCCTCGGGCTCAAGAATTAACACACGCTGACGTGAGCATACACACAGACAGGTGTAATTGGTCCGCTTAACGCGCTGTTTGCAATCTAACGAGTTCCCTGCGCTCAGTTTAGAAGCTCCACATGCCTGGAAGTGATGCCAAACTGGGCTCCTCCGCTTTCCTCCTTACACTCTTGCATGAGCTTATTATTGATCAGCCTTAAAAGCAGGGAAATGGCCTCCCCCTCAGTCTCCTTTGTGTCTCGGCTCCAGCTTTTTTCTTT